TGGTGATGATGATGATGATGATGATGATGATGATGATGATGATGATGATGATGATGATGATGGTGATGGTGATGGTGATGGTGATGGTGATGGTGATGATGACGACGACGACGATGATGATGATGATGATGATGTTGATGATGATGATGATGATGGTGGTGGTGGTGGTGATGCTGATGATTGCTTTGGTTAGGGGAATGAAGAATGGCGTAAACATAAACACTCGGAGGTCCGCGCGGATTTCCCGCAGGATCAGCCAGGGCTGCACTGACCCGGGCTTGGGCGCAGGATCCTGCAGGATGTTGCAGGATCCTGCAAGGCCTGACTGGCCCAGGTCTGGATTGACCCGGCTGGGTCAGCAGAACCCCAAAGAATGTTCTGGTCAGGGTTTCGAAACGGTTCCAGAGCCGTGAAGATACGGGCGGCCCAGGAGGCCTAAAGGGGCCCTGTCCCACCTCCTCCGCCTCCTCCTCCTCCGCCTCCTCCTCCCCTCCTCCGCATCGGGCGGGGGCTGGGACAGGGATACATCGATCCAGAGCTGTTCCGGCCTCCGCTGGCGAGTGGACCCGCCATGACCCCGGTGGGGGCGGGATTCTGACTCGAGACCCGCCCTCCCCCACCCTCCCCCCCCCAGCAGGGAGGGGATAACGGCGAGGGAATGTACCCAACCAACTATTACGACGTTTCTTGTTCCTTGTTGCTGAATTTCTTTGGGGCTGGCGACGACGACGACAAAGATGACGACGACGACGACGACGACGACGACGACGACGACGACGACGACAACGACGAGGGCAAGGCCTCTCGCACACGCAGAAGGGTAGATCCTCCTGAACAGCCAGATCTCAGAGGTCCCCGGTGCTCTCCCGTTCCTGGTTCCGTCCCTCAACAGCTCTGATCCCCGAGCCTACAGAGGTCCGCCTCTGGCGCGTCGCCGACATCATTCGGGTCTGGAGGGGCTCGATGTATGCACCGGAGCACCGCGTCGTTTGGTCGGCCACGGAGCGGCCCTTTTTTGGCGATCCGTCTCGGCGTGTAGACGCGCCAGAGTATCATAGCTCTGGACGCTGAGGCGTCTATACTCAGCATCGTTTGATGTATCTCCATCCCCACGGGGCCATGATATCTCAGCCCCACCATCCCTCCACCCATGTTGGGGATATCCCTCCACCCATGTTGGGGAGCAGCCTTCCTCCTCATCTGGGGCCGTGACTTGGCAAATGGGGCCCAGGCCACGCCAGTGGGGATGGTGATCGATTATTCCATGCTCATGCGCACTGAGCTCAGTGGCCGATCAGACGACGTGGTGCGTGATTAAAGAAGAGAGCCTCCCACCGCCCCTGCCCGGCGCCGCCCCCGAGGTCCGATGTGGATGCAGACTTCCATGCAGGGGGGTGGCCCCGCCCCGCCCGAGGGGGGAAGTCGCCGCCGCCGCCGTGGCCGCCCCCGTGCTTGTCGTCGCGTGTCGTCGTCGTGGGTGTGGGCAATTTGTTGTCATTACACTTCTTCGAGAGTCAATCCATGACTATATATATATATATATATATATACATGTATAAATGTATATATGTGTATGTATATATATATATATACACATATCTCGGAGTATGCGGGGGGGGGGGGGAAACCGGTGTCATCATCCCCCATGGGCGCCCCCCCGAACCTTTGGGGGTCACAGACCCCCCGGGACTGCCCCGGGCCGCTTCCAAATTTCCCACGACAAGCCACGCGGGCCGTACTGATGGTCAGGAAAGCCTCAAGAGGCCCCGAAGACGCCCAAGAGCGCCCCGAGAGGGCCCGAGATGGCTTAGAGATGGCCGACGAGGGCACCAAGAGGGCCGTCAAGAGGCAAACATCGGCACATTCCCTTTCGTAAAACGTACATTTTCAGTATACTCGCTGGCTTCGTCTTCAGAGTGCCCCAGACGCCCCCGCGGAGCCCCACGACAGCCCAAGAGAGACCCTTGAGGGCCCAAGACGGCCCAAAAGGGTCGGCCTGTGGGGCTCACGGAATCCCCCGAGACGACCCAAGAAGCCCCAAAGTTGGCCTAGGAGGCCCCCAAGACGGCCTCAGGGAGGCTCAAGAGGGCCTCGTTCGAAATCATTTTCCCCGAAGCTTCTCCCGGAACATGATTTCCGGGCTCCCAGGACGCCCACGAGGCCCACAAGACAGCCTCAGCGAGGCCCCAGAGGGCCCGAGATGGCTTCAAGATGGCCGAAGAAGGCCCCGAGAGGGCATTCAGGAGGCATAAATCGGCCCATTCCCTGCGTAAATCGCTCCGTGGGGCTCACGGAACCCAGCAAGACGGCCCAAGAGGCCCAAAAGCCAGCCCAGGAGGCCCCCAAGACGGCCTCAGGGAGGCCCAACAGGGCCTCGTTCGAAATCATGTTCCTGGAAGCCTCTCCGGGAACATGATTTCCGGGCTCCCAGGACGCCCAAGAGGCCCACAAGACAGCCTCAGCAAGGCCCAGGAGGGCCCGAGATGGCTTCAACATTGCCGAAGAGGGCCCCAAGAGGGCCTTCAAGAGGCACAAATCGGCCCATGCCCTGCGTAAAACATACATTTGTTCAGCACACTCGCTTGCTTCGTCTTCAGAGTGCCCCAGACGCCCCCGAGGAGCCCAAACACAGCCCAAGAGAGACCCTTGAGGGCCCAAGACGGCCCAAAAGGGTCGGCCTGTGGGGCTCACGGAACCCCCCAAGACGGCCCAATAGGCCCCAAAGCCAGCCCAGGAGGCCCCCAAGACGGCCTCAGGGAGGCCCAAGAGAGCCTCGTTCGAAATCATGTTCCCAGAAGCCTCTCCGGGAGCATGATTTCCAGGTCCCAGGACGCCCAAAGACAGCCCCCGTGGCCCTGGACACGCCGAAGATGGCCTCAGGACGGTCGACGACGCTGCCAAAACTCCCCAAGAGAGCCTCCAGAGGCCCCTCCAAAGGGCCCCATCGAAGCATTCTTGCGCTTTCCCATGTTCCGTTTCCTCACGGTCCCGGACCGCGTCAGAGGCCAAAGCCCAGAGACGGCCCAGGAGGTTCCCCAGATAAGTCAAGAGGGCCTCGAGAGCGCCCCAAGAGAGCCCCTAGAGCGACCCAAGAGGGCCCGAAGAGCGCGACATTTCGAGGTCTCCGGCCTGGGAGGCTCCTAGGACGCCCCCGGAGGCCATCAAGATGCTGCCAAGAAGCTCCGTGAGGCTCCCAAGAGGCCCCCCAGAAGCCCCGATAGGCCCCCAAGGGATTCCCATGGGGGAAGCCCCCTGCGGGCCCCCAAGACACTTCGGTAAATCGTATTTCCCAGATGGTTTTCGGGAACATGATTCCGTGGGCTTCCGCCCACCGCCCCAACCATGTTTCCAATAGGCTTGCCGACTAGGCCAAAAGGCGCCCCTCGGTAAGCCCCCAGAGACCCCCTCTTAGAGAGCCGAACAAATCATGCTCCTGGAAAGCTTCCCGGGAACATGATTCTCTATCTCGGAGTAGGCCTGGGGGAGGGGGGCGGGCCGTTGCCTGTTCCCCCCATCGGTGCCCACCAGGGGTTACGGGGGGTGGGTCCAGGGCTCCCGAGGCGGCCCGAGCCCGCCCCGAAGCAGGCCACGACAGGCTAAGGGGATCCCAAGACGGTCCCACGAGGCCCCGAAGACGCCCAAGCTGCCTTCAAGATGACAGACGAGGACTCCAACACGCTCCAGGACGAACTCAAGAGGCTCCCCAAAAAGGACCTTGGGAGGCAAGATTCACTCATTTTCCGATGGTTTTTGAAGGATCTAGGCGTTCTCACTTTCCCCGCTGCCCAGCGCTCCCTCACGGTCCACGAGGCCCCGAAGAGGGCCCCAAGACGGCCCAGGATGCTCCCCAGACAACCCAACTGTGCCCCAAGAGCTCCCCAAGAGAGGGCCCAGAGGGGGACCGCCAACCGATATTTCGAGGTCTCTGGCCCTAGAGGCCGCCTGTAGGCCCTCAGAGGCCACCAAGAGGCTCCCACGAAGCCCCGTGAGGCGCCCAAGAGGCCCCAAGGAAAGACCCCCAAGGTGCTCCCAGGGAACGCCCAAGAGGCCCCCCAACACACCCCAAGAAGTCATGTCCCCAGAAAACCTTCCGGGGACATGGTTCATCATGGGCCCGAGAGTTCCCGGAGGCCCCCAAGGGGCCCCCATGGAACGCCCAAGAGACCCCCTGACACACCCCAACAAACCATGTCCCCAGAAAGCCTTCCGTGGACATGGTTCATCATGGGCCCGCGAGTCTCCGGAGGCTTCGAAGTACCATCATGCTACTGGAGAGTTAGTTGTCTGGGAAGTTGATTGGGAATATGATTGATCGCCTTCTCGCGGCCCTCCGCAGATCGTTCCGCACAAAGTTGCCCCAAGTGCCTTCTTGAATCGACGACGACGACGAAACGACGAAGACGACGACAACGACGACGACGACGACGATGGCGCGCCCCAATAGGCGTCGACGACATTACGACGACGACGACGACGACGACGACGACGACGACGACGACGGCACAGCCCAACAGGTTCCCCAAGACGCCCCAAACCCATACTCCCAGAAGTCCTTCTGGGAACCCGTGTCATACGACTTCTGCCCCCCTAGGCAACCATTTTCTTCGAAGGCCTTTCGGAATGCAGATCGGCATGCGTGGACTGTGGTCCACTACTTCAGTGGAGCAGTGAATTCGTCAAGGCCTGGGGCCTGCTAGAACCTGAGTGCGCGCGAAGCGCGCGCGATGGTTCTAGTGTGTATATGTATATATGTATATATGTATATGTATTAATTCTTATTTAAATGCACACATGTGAGTGTGCATATATATATATATATATGCATATCAAGAGACACATCGATATGTGTGTACAGTGTATGCGCATTTATCCATATCTAGACATATGGTCAGTCAAGTCGCACCTATCTACGGTGTAATGGCGCATGTAACTACTTCTACACAGAAGTCGATACTTCTCTATAGATGCGTATATACATATATAAACATTTATACACACGTATATGTGTACACACACTGACGAGGGACCGGGCCCAAAGGACAGGGCCCGGGGGACTGGGCCGGGGAGCCTGGGCCAGCGCTGCCCTGGCCGCGCACACACACGGAGGCGCCGGGGGCCGAGGCTGCTCCCGGAGGGGCGCGCTGCGGAACCTACGCGGCACCTCGGAGGAGGAAGAGGTACCCACACCTCTACCTTTGGAACATTTTCTCCTTTTTGGGTCTCCTGTGACGGGAGGTTTGTCTCCATTTTCGGCCCCTTGGAGCCCTTACCGGGCCTCGGGACCTTCAAAAAACGACTCGGGATGACAAGCCGGTCTCAGAGAATACGTAGGTCGAAACTTCTGGGGGTCGACGTCGTGAGCAAATCATGACGTCGAGGGTCTGGGAGGTGTTCGTACCTCTACCCTTCCCTCGTCTTCCTCTTTTTGGGGCCTCCTGGGAGAGCCTCGTCGCCACCGCCGGATTCGCTTCGAAATCCTGGTCGGAACGCACCCCGGGAGAGGTCCAGGGAGCAGCGGTATATCGGTACCTTTTGGTTCCCCCAGCACCCCCCGGGAATTCCGGCAGCGGGGGGCCGTGACGCCGACATGCTCGTTCATGCAGGGCAGGGAGTTCAGAGGACCGTGAGGGCGCTCCATCCAGTAATCCGTTTTTCGCGGCATAGTCACCAAGACACGCAAGGTGCACGCATTCAAACATACATGAAGGCGTACATGTTGGAAACAGTATATTGTTTTGTATATGTGTATATATATACATATATTTATATGCATCAATCTGAGATGAGAAGAGAAAAAGAGGCAAACGAGAAGGATGTTAGTAAACGCGTTGGCCGCGAATGCTGCGAAGAATGGGTGCTGGGGAGGGCTGTCCATACATATATATATATATATATATATATTTGTGTGTGTGTGTGTGCGTGTGCGTGTGTGTGTGTGTGTGTGTGCTTGCCGCCGCCCGCCCCGCCCCAGGCCCCCAACAGCTAGCTACGGCCACAGGGCTTTTCAGTCTGATCCCCCTCTCCGTCATCCCAGTCTCTCCCTCTGGGTCCTCATTATTCGAATCTGCAATCTCGGCTCCAAATGACGCGAAACGCACATCTCCAGAGGGCGAAGCGGTCCGGATCTCTCGGTTGCGACATGTTCTCTCAAACCGACGCGGGGCACAATGCTTATTGGGGGTGTAACGCGGACTTTAATAGAAAGCCTCCGCAAGAGCCGCAGTGGGAGCGGCCCTATTGGGTGTAGTGCGAACGGTGGGAACAGCTACGCTACTCGAAAAGAGTTCTGGTACTTGCTGTAGTAGCAGCTGCAGTCGGATCTGTAGTAAGAGTTGCACTGAGAGTTGCTTTCGTGCCTGTGGTACGAAGGGTAAGAGAACTGCAGTAGGATATGTAGTAGGAACTCCACTCGGAACTGTAACCATACATAGTTCTGTACACTAGCAGTTGCTGTAGAATCCTTAGTGGCCAGCTTGGTTTCACCTGTGGCCAGTCGCGTTATGATTCGCGCTGGCGCCGTCTTGGACTTCTAAAGAAGGGCACATCACACACGGCTCCAGCGCGAATCGTGCAGTGACCAGCGGGGGGTGGAGGGAGGGGGGGGAGAGGCGGAGCCGCTTACGGGCGCTATCGCGATTCATAAGACAACCGGGCTGGGGGGGGGGGGGGGCGAGGCATCGGTATTTCGCAGCACGGGGCCTCCAGAAGCCTCGCGAGACGCTCCCCGGGGCCGTGTTTGCATCCCGATCGCCGATCTCTGACGGTCCCGTGGGGCCTGCCGAGGGCCCCAAGGTTGATGTTGCGACCTTGAGATCCGACGGCTCGAAAAACGTGGGACGTCGCGGGATCTCGCGATTCTGGCCCTTCCTTTTTCGGGCCGCATCGATGCGCCTTCGAGGGCCCCAGGGCCCGAATCTGGGCGACAGATCGCCCGACTCGACGACAAATTGCGACGCCAGGATGTATATATATATATATATATATATAAAGATATAAAGACATACGCATATATATATACATATAATATATATATATATATATAGATATACACACGTATATCTCAGAGGGGGCGCGCGCGCGCACCTCTGGGCTGCCCCGCCCGCTCCTCTCCCATGTCCCCCCGGCGAGGCGGCCACGCGATGGCGTCCTTCTCCATGTCCGCGGGGGCGACGGAGCCTTCGCCGCGGCCCCGACGACGACGACGACGATGACGGCGACGACGTTGGCCGCGGCGGAGCCCGCGACGTCGACGTTGCCCGCGACGGCGACGACGGCGACGACGACGTTGCTGGCGGCAGCGGCGACGACGCCGACGACGCCTGTGTCGCTGGTGACGACGACGACGAAGCCGACGCTGGCGACGACGACCATGACGACGAAGAAGACGATGAGGTCGACGCCGACGAAGACGCCGGGGACGCCGACAACGATAACGACGCCGACGACGAAGACGACGACGACGCCGATGACGACGACGACGACGCCGACGCCGACGACGACGACGACGACGACGACGACGACGACGACTGCGACGACTGCGACGACGACGACGCAGACGTTGCTGGTGGCACCGGCGACGACGACGACGCTGGTGACGCTGGCGATGACGATGACGACGACGACGCCGCCGACGATGACGACGCCGGTGACGCCGTCGACGCCGACGAAGACGGCGACGTTGCCGGCTGCGCGGACGAAGACGACGACGCCGGTGACACCGGCGACGACGACGAACACGACGCTGGCGAGGGCGGCAAACGACGACGACGAGGTCGACGCCGACGACGACAACGACGCCGACGACGCCGACGACGCCGACGACGACGGAGACGACGACGCCGACGACGACGACGACGACTGCGACGACTGCGACGACGAAGGCGACTTCGCTGCTGGCGCCGACGACGACGACGACGCTGGTGACGCCGGCGACGACGACGACGAGTGCGACGACGACGGCGACGTTGCTGGCTGCGCCGACGACGACGACGCCGACGACGACGAAGAAGATTAAGACGACGACGATGACGACGACGTGATCGACGACGACGATTGCGACGACGACGACGACGACGACGACGGCGACGGCGTTGCTGGTGGCGCCGAACACGACGACGACGACGCCGGTGACGCCGTTGACGACGACGACGACGACGGCGACGTTGCCAGCTGCGCCGACGACAACGACGTCGACGCCGGCGAGGCCAGCGACGATGACGACGAACACGACGCTGGCGACGACGACCAATGACGAGGACCACGACGAGGTCGACGCCGACGAAGACGCCCGTGACGCCGACGACGACGCCGACGACGACCACGACGACGACGACGAAGACGACGACGACGCTTGCGACAACGATGACTACGACGACGACGTTGGTGGCGCCGACGACGACGCCGCCGGTGACGCTGGCGACGACGACGACGACGACGGCGACGTTGCCGGCTGCGCCGACGACGACGACGACGACGACGACGTTGACGAACGACGACGACGACGACGACGACGGCGACATTGCCAGCGGCGCGAATTAACGACGACGAGGACGTTGGCGCCGCCGACGCCGGCAACAACGACGACGCTGGTGACGCCAGCGACGACGATGACGACGTTGGCGACGACAATAAACGACGACGACAACGAAGACGAAGACGCGGGGGACGCCGGTGACGGCAACGACGCCTACGAAGATGACAACGACGACGACGACGACGAGTGCGACGACGACTCAAGTGACGCCGACGACGCCAGCGACGACGACGACGACGACGGCGACGTTGCCGGCTGCGCCGACGGCGACGACGCCAGCGACGACGACGACGACGACGGCGACGTTGCCGGCTGCGCCGACGGCGACGACGAAGACGGCGCCGCCGGTGACGCCGGAGGTGCCAGCGACGACGACGAGAAGGTCGACGACGACGACGTCGACCACGACGACGACGACGATGACGACGATGACGACGACGACGACGACGTTGCTGGCATGCTGCGCCGGCGACGACGACGCCGGTGACTCTAGCGACGACGACGGCGACGGCGACTAGATGACGCCGACGACGACGCCAGAGACGCCAGCGGCGCCGGCGACGACAACAAACGATGATGACGAAGCCGACGAGGACGCCGGCGACGCCGACGACGGCGCCGCCGATGAAGACGACGACGATGAAGACGACGACAACGGCGTCAACGACGCCGACAACGACGGCGACGACGACTGCGACACCGACGACGACGACGACGACGATATTGCTGACGGTCCCGACGACGACGGCCCCGGTGACGGTGGCGAAGACGAGGACGACCTGGACGACGACAACGACGACGTTGACGACGACGGCGACGGCGACGTGGCCGTCGGCGCCGATGACGCCGACGAGGCCGCCGGCGACGCCGGCGGCGCCGGCGACGACGACGCCAGTGACGCCAGCGATGCTGACGACGACGACGCTGGCCGCTGGCGACGAGGACAAACGACGGCGCCGACGAGGCCGCGGGCGGCGCCGACGACGACAACGACGCCGACGAAGACGACGACGATGAAGACGACGACGACGACAACGACAACGACGCCGACGACGGAGACGACGACGACGACGACGACTGCGACGACGATGTTGCTGGCGGTCCCGACGACGACGGCGACGCCTGTGTCGCTGGCGACGACGACGACGAGGACGACGGCGACGACGACGACGACGACGACGACGAAGATGGCGACGTTGCCAGCGGCGCCGACGACCACGACGACGCTGGCGCCGCCGACGCCGCCGACGACGACGACGACGACGAAGACGCGCGCGCGCCCACGTGGCAGCCGCGCCGCGGCCCACGCCGCGTGCGCCGAGAGGAATTCGTCCCCGGCGCGCCGCCGGCAGGCGCGCGCCCCGCGCTCGTGCTCTTCTGCGCTCTGCGTCGGGGGCGTCCAGGACGGGGGTGATGACTACAGTGGGGACGCGCGCCGAAAACCGTAGGGTTAAATCGGGCGTGTCCCCCTACAGGGGGATTGTCGACGAAAAGTACCAGATACCCCCAAAATGGTAGAAAAAGAATCCAAAAATGGTCCTGGGGACGATTTTTCGTCGAGAATCCCTCTGTAGGAGGACCCCAGGTAAGGGGACCCGGTTAGTGGTAGGGCCCCGGAGCCTTTGAATTGGGCAGAACCACTAAACCTGGTCTGCCGCAGCTGGTGTCTTTTCGGGTGACGGCAGTTCCGGTTAGTGGAGATGGGGCGGGGGGGCGCCTCCCGGTACAGATCACCAAACCAGGTTCCACTAAACCCAGTTCTGCCAACGCCAGGCGGGGGCGTCCAGCACGGGGGTGATGACTACAGTGGGGACGCGCACCAAGAAACCGTAGGGTTTTCGTCAGGGTGCCCTAGTTTCGAGTCGGGCCTGCCCCTCTACAGGAGGGAATTTCAAAAATAGGAAAAATGAGCATGTGGACGATTTTTTTACCAAATTAAAAAAAAAAAAAAAAGTTGGAGTACTTTGTCAGTATTTGCATTTTTCCTCCAAAAGTCCACCTTTAGGGGGACAGGCCCGACCTAACCCTAGTTCTTTTCGTTGCCAGCGATACGCGGTGATTGCCCCGGGCGTTAAGAAACCACTGCCCCCTGGGTACCTTGGGCTTCTCTCCCAGTCGCACCTCGCGCCTTTCTATATCACGCCCCGGGCAAAAAATTCTCGGCCCAGAATACCTTGGAAGATTTCTCAGGACTGGGCTTCGTGCGGAGGTTTCTTGCGGCCAGGTCCCCACTGTAGGGGGGATGGGTACGGTCGGCCTGAGGTATGAGATCGAGGTCGGCTCGGGGACGGTACCCTCATGTTCTTCGTTAGGTCGGCTCGGGGAGGGTACCCTTCATGTGCCTCGTGTTTATCAGGTGTTCTTGTGCATCCGGGGGGTCACCCTCGAATGCTCTTCAGTTTGGGCCAGCCGAGGGTCTCATGTTCTTGAAGGGCGTTCCTCTGTCCTAGGTCCGGCTGTATCTCTGCCAGGGCCGTGATCTGGCTGTTGGTCGCGCGTTTTTTAGTGCGTCATTGTTTGTAGTTTTCCGTTGCGTTAGAGCCAGCTGTGGGTCTGAGGTGGCCTAGCACTGGCTCTGGCCTGCAGGATGGGGGGTGTTGAGGTCTGAGGTTTGGGTTCGACTAGGTTTTCGTCATCTTTCGGCCTCCACTGGGCCGTGTGCAGGCCAGGGGACTTTCAAAGATGGATCCGGGTTCAAAACCTGACAGATGGACCCTGGGAGGGGTCCAAGGACCGATTTTGAAGCGATTTGTCTTCATTCCCCATCTCTCGACCGCTAGTCTCGAAGTCCATCAAGTTCGGACCACCTGGCCGCCTCCGAGCTGGACGAGGATTGGAAGCGGCCCGATGTTTTGTTGTGTGGCCCGTAGTCCTAGTAGTAGTAGTAGTAGTAGTAGTAGTAGTAGTAGTAGTAGTAGTAGTAGTAGTAGTAGTAGTAGTAGTAGTAGTAGTAGTAGTAGTAGTAGTAGTAGTAGTCGTAGTAGTAATAGTAGCAGTAGTAGTAGTAGTAGTAGTAGTAGTAGTAGTAGCAGTAGTAGTAGTGGTAGTAGTAGTATTTGTAGTAGTAGCAGTATAGAATAGTAATAGTATACTATAGTGTAGTATGTATAGTATAGTATGTAGTAGCAGTACAGTAGAAAGTAGTGATAAGTATAGTGGTAGTAGTAGTGTAGTGGTAAGTGAGGGTAGTGGTTGTGGTATGGTAGTGTAGTGGTAGTGGTATGGGTAGTGTAGTAGTCGCATCGTAGTCGTTAGTCGTAGTCGAGGTCCGTAGTCCTATTAGTCGCAGTCGAAGTCGTCGACGTCGTCGTCGTCGCCGGCGTCGTCGTCGGTCGTCGGTCCTCGTCGTCGAGTAGCAGTAGTATCGCAAGTAGTAGTAGTCAGTATCAGTAGTAGTAGTCGTCGTCGTAGTCGTAGTCGTAGGTCGTAATCGTAGTCGTAGTCGTAGTCGTGGTCGTGGTCGAAGTCGTAGTCGTAGTAGTAGTAGTAGTAGTAGTAGTAGTAGTAGTAGTAGTAGTAGTAGTAGTAGTAGTAGTAGTAGTAGTAGTAGTAGTAGTAGTATATAGTAGTAGTATATAGTAGTAGTAGTAGTAGTAGTCGTAGACAGTGTCGTAGTATTGGTGGACAGTATAGAGTTCTAAGAATAGAAC